ACTACAGGCAATTACAGGGCTGTTGTTATTATCACACTTAACAGGTCACTATTACACCCACTACTGTATTCGGTCTTCACTAGTCTTATACTTGCAATGTATTCATGACAATGTCACTGTAACTTCAAATCACACATGAAGTCTTCTTTGCACAGCTTAATTCCTTTCTAGTCATTATTCTCAGACATCTAAGACTGCCGAATCTGAATTCTCTGCTGTAACTGCAAACTCTGGAACTCGACACAATTCTCGTTATAACCTTCGTTATATAACCTCGGTGCGGACCCACAGAAAACACTCCTTCCTCTATTGTTGCGCTTCGATTCACTGCTGCAGAGATGGGTTTACCGCACACTTGTGTAGCAACGAACGTGGCGCGGACCTACAAGGAACGCCGCTTTCAACACCTCTTATATTGTTGCTAAACGTCACAGCGTACGTGAAGCGTTCGTCTGCTGCGTGTGTATGGGCCGCGTCATAACTCAAGCGGTTAGTCGTTGGCTTCCCACCGCGGCGGCCAGGGTTCAATCCCGGGTCTGGTCAAGTGGGGTTTGTTGTGGACAAAGTGGCGATGGGACAGGTTTTCTCCGAGTACTTCGGTTTCCACTGCCAATCTTCATTCCACCAATTGCTTCACAATTACACTCACCTATCATCTGGGGCTGGTACAATAGGCCAGAAGTAGCCGCAGTACAGGGGACTTAGTCCCACCCCAATAGCATTAAAAAAATTGGGCCATTACTTAGCAAGGGCTGTTTCGCTGTCTCCACACTTCTTGCTTTGAGCAAATACGCCACAGTTTATGCAATTCCTGCTGTCCTACTTACTGAAAGGTTAGGTTACCTTGCCCATTTTCTTTTTGTTTCTGATGTCCTGTCGTTTAATTCTGTTCGAATTTCATATTCCAATGCGAATTTTAGTTCGTTTAATTCTTTTCCTTTATATCATGTGTTTCTGAGTTTGTGTAGGCCTCTGCTTCCATGCATGTTCGCGTTCTGATGCCCTACAAGCCTAGATATAAGCGCGTGTACGTCAGTTTAATTTTATCAACTTCAAGACACCAGGGCCACATATGCAGGTTTCTCACATAGATGGTTATGAAGAGCCTTTCTCGCTTTTTGGATATAATGCCGGCCTGCACGATGCTATATCCCGCAAGATAGAACACTTCCATTCACAACCTGTTTCCTTTTCACTGCCTATCAACTTCCCTACTACCCCCAAAATATAGAAGATACAGCTCTACAAACTAACCTGCTTTGACAACTACTGGCTTTCATGTGACTGAATAAACTAATAACCACGCTTCAGTACTCAAATTCCTTTTCAGTCCTCTTTTATTGACAGTTAATTCCCGGTGATGACCTACAGGCCGCCCAAAAGTCAGTTAACTTCTTAATAAAATGTACACTAAAATACTGTCAAGTGTATGAGTGACTAAAGAATGGTTTCGGATTGGTAATTGGATTTATTGGCCTCTTACAGGTCGTAACTACAAATAATGATTACACTACTGCTGATTTACACAATTTACAATCACGCTTCTACAGTCATTTCCACTGTTGCTGTAAGTTTTGCATGGCTATGTACGAGAAATGAAAAGCAAAGAAGTAGACGTGGTAATTCAGATTCCAAGGCATGTCCGTAATGGGTAACTGACGCGGCAGAAAATGTGAATTTTGTTTCCAGACGAGGGAAGTGTTTGATTGCAAGGAATATTTTCGGTGTTTATGTAATGAAATTTTCTGACAGAAATGGTGCACTTGCGTACGGCCTATCTGCGTATGTAGAATGTTAGCAGCTATGTACATGGCAAAAATCTATTTTCATTGGGGAAAGAAGAAATGATTGGAAGCAAACGAAACTGAAAAATAACAGAATTTTTCCCCTAAAAATTTTTCTTCTCTGAAGAAACGATCAGGAATTTGTCATCATTTACACTCAGATGTTTCGGGAAAGAAAGAGTGGAGGGTTACTTGAACATATGCAAAGATATTCTTCTGCTTTAGGGGGCGTATTTCGGAACCAAACTAGGAATGGGCGTTTTTACGAGAGAGTTTGAAATTTTAAAAGACAGTTGACATACAGACAAATTGATGGTTGATTAATTGATTAAGCAAATAACTTTGATTCTCTTGGATGTTGTAAGCAATATTTTGGGACAGGTATATATAAATCACAAAGTTTAAAGCTTCTGAAACTTGGGTTGCCTATATCAGGGGACAAAAGTAGATCTGAGGCTGCCGATGTGCAATTCTTCATAGCAGCGAGTGTAATAACAAGACGAGATAAAATTCAAAGTGATGATGTTAGGAATAAACTACAAGCAGAAAATTTTATTAAGCCTGTTAATAAATACAGAGAACAGGAAAAGCCACTGACTGAAACTAGAATTCGCCGGCAAATGGCGAACTATTGACTTCAAGAACCATGAAGCCGTAGGAACTCTAGGAATAAAACGGTAAGACCAAAGTTGAGGAAATGCAACAGACCTCGGGGCCTAGTAGAAGCCAACACTCTGCCGCAATGACTAGGAAACAGATGTCCAGTCAAGAAGGTTCTACGTTAAAATTTGCTAAGTCTACTTTATGTAGACTCCCAAGTTCTCAGTGCGGTAATTTTTCAGATTGTAGTTTTCTGGGTAGACTTGTAGACAGATATGGACGTTTCAAAGAAACATGCTGAAACATCAGCTCTGATGACAGAGGCAGCAATTTCTTCTGAAACGTCAGCAACAATTTACCGATTATCCGGTGCGATAACCCAGAAGGTCACATGGTAGGTCTGTTTCGCGAGGTATTTTAACTGCAATTTCGTGGCAAATTTATATGAACTCGGTAAAGGCCTTTTTGAATTTGAAGAAGGAAGTTGGAAGTATAGGCCTAAGTGATTCTGGACATGAAACAGGATTTCCGGCTAGAATAATTTGCTTACTTATTTTTTTAATATTATTTAGCACATCTGCCTTGCCTGTTATTTTCCTTACCTTTACATTTATTGAGGAGCCGGGATAGCGCAGTCGGTATAGCGACTGGCTACGGGCTCAACGCCTAACGTGTCGGAGTTCGAGTCCTGGCCGGGTCAAGAATTTTCTGTCCTCCAAATCGTCCTGACCGGCTCTGGGGCCACCCGATCTCCTATCCAGTGGGTAACGGGGGCTCTTTCCCAGAGGTTAAAGCTGCAGAGCCGCGAAGCTGATCACTCACCTCCAGCTAGTGATGAGGTCAAGAAAATGTGGATCTATACATCTACTCCCCCATGCTCCTTCATGGTGCAATAAATAATAAAGCATTGTTGCGTTGACGGTAAAATTATATATTTTCATTGCATTTCTTCTTCGTTGAGAAGCTTATGGTCTTTTCACCTCCTCAAGATGTTCTTCACCTCTTACAGAAACACAACTCTCATTATCTGGTGCACAACCAACTACAGGGACGCATCTCTGTCCTCACGAATGTGACCTATAGGCGGAGCTCATTAGTAGCCACCCTAGAGTCGAGAGCGAAACCCAGTTTTATTCAGTCACTCATTTCCAGAGAGACCACTGAGTCAGTCTCAGAACTTGTGAGGAGCAGTCCAGTGAAGTTACCGCAGTCCCTCCTACAACATGAATCTTTATTCTATAAATGATTGCCCCAACTACACAACGGGCTACGTTGGGGAAACAAAGGCTGCGCTCAAGACACAGTGGTCAATTGAGGCTGAACGAGGGGGCACCTAACTGCCTCCATATGATGCGGGGTAAATATAAAGCATGTATTTATGTTCCCGTTTATACGAACTGTGGTTTGAAACTACAATGAAGTGGGTAATTGGTTTTTAAGTGGTTCGTTCGAGACCTATAAATCTGTTTTTTAAGTTAAAATTAGAGTTTAACACAGAAGAATAGTTCCTTGTTTACTAATGGCAGATTCACTTTACAATAAGGGCTCCACCCAGTCTGTTCGCACGTTGCGTTTCAAAATCAGTACGCCTTTCTCAGGGTAAGTAAGAAAGGTTATTTTCCGTACACACTTGGGGTCAGCTCTGTGTAGTCTACAGTACACTTAGACTGGAAAATGGGGTTGTTGTTTGGGGCACGGGATTGCATGCAACCACAGTTTCATACATAACGACTATCATAACACCACTTGGCTTCTAATAATCATGCTAGCACATTCCTGTCCGTTGTTTGCTTCTAAGTTAACTGTCTGTATAACGGGGAATTGAGACCATAGCCGTTGCTGTCAATTCTATTAGAATTCATATGCAAGTGGTTACTTCAACCCACTGCGAAATTTGTAACTTCTTTAAAAATCGGTTCTAAAATATTATGAATATGGCGTAATAAATTTAATTCTTATAACCCAAAGTTACAAAAACTGTGCAGTCAAATGTGAGTTGCACAACAATAACAGAAAACATTTTCACAGATAGGTCCAAGAAGTTTATTCTTTTCCTTGATATTTCCATTCAGTCTTAAAGATTATTTTGGAGAAAAATAGCCAGCTATAATTCGTTAAGTACAACCGTCTCCTTATTTCAGTAATTGATTACGAGATACAAGCTTGAAATAATGCTTATGTAACCATGGCGATTTTAAGCAAGGCTTTAACTTGGTCAAGTTAATAGTCAATCAAGTGACGGAATGACTTAATGCCTCCATAAACTTTAGCATTGTAAATTAATATGAAAGCTCAGCACGCCCAGTCATTTTAATACGTCCTACTTTTGTACATTCTCTGTTGGAATTAACTGCCGACATGTAAATAACATTGAACAGAAAATCATGCACACAATTTCCAACTTAATACTCACAAATGTATATACGTAGGACTTCATAAGTGCCACAGGTATTAATTAAATTTTGCTGAAATGATTAAAGGGAATGTAATCAGTACTATTTCCAGTTAACTGTTAATCACCATTGTTTTGCAATACCTTTGTGACACACGACAGGTACACCAACAAACACCAAACAGGCACAGATGATAATAATAAGAATAATACATTCTACTCACCTACATTTCACCTGTATGGCTGACTCGCTTCGCAGGTGCCTTGCAGGCTCGTCACAACCTCCTGTGAGGTTTCTTTCTTCGTTATTAATCAAATGTCAAACCCGTATTATTTCTTAAGACAATTCCACACTTAACCTTTCGTCTGTAAGAACTCGAAAACTGGAGATGTTGTCTACCCTGATTCACTCAATATTACCATCTGAATGTCCTCTTCTGTGAGGCTAATTATAGCGCGCGTTCTGATCCATTTTCCCGTCTTGACAGTGCACGTTAATAATTTCACTTTGCGGAGAGTAGGGCTCCGTTTGTGTAGGCTTGAGCATTCAGCTAGGAGTAAGCAGCGCCGTAAAAGCGGGCAGCAAAAATCCATGTACTGGAGAGAGAGAGAGACAGACAGACGACTACGGGAACGGCTTCTGCGCTCTTGCATTACGAGTCGGCGTCTCTTTCTGACAGTTGGAAAACTACATCTTTCCCCCTCTCTCACTCCTTCAGCATACAACTATTCGAACCCGACACAGACTTGTCCCGTTCACCATCCTTTTCTTTCGCTCACTCTTCTACCTTCTCTCTCTTTTTTAATTTCGTTATTTCCTTTGAGTCTACATCTCCGCCGTAGCTGCGTCTTCTTTTGCCGTACCTTTGGCCTCATACAACGCCGGCACGCCCCTTCGGATATCTCCCCTCCTTCCCTTCACTGAACTATTCCACATGTCCCTTCACCCCTTCCTTACCAAGAACCCCACCTTCCCATCTGGACCAACCACACAGCATCTATGGTTGCATGCGTAGAGTAGAACAGAACTGGCGAAAACAAGTGTATATCGAACTGCGGACACAGGATTATGAAATTAGGAATATTGATAGCATGTGAGGTACGTGTAATGTGCATTCAGCTTGTTACTCACTGTGACCACAAATCATTTTCTCGCATTCAACATCTCACAAACGTAAAAACAGAATACAATTTCTGTTTAATCCTATAATTTACATTACAGTGTCTAAATTCTTCCCTTCCTGTGTTCTCCAGTTTAGCTATCTGGTCTCTACTAGCTTAGAATGACTTCTGAGACAACGTTCAGGCCATGCATATGGTAGGATTCCTTACGTCAGAGATCAGAGACTATCAAGCCCTCTACTGCAACATATCACAGGAAAATCAAGAATCGAACTCCTAATCCTAATGTACTGCTCAATCCGATCATTTTTTTCTCTCAGATTTAAAGTAAATACGTTTAACGATACCATAACCGCTCCATAGCTCAAGCGGTTAGTCGCTGGCTTCCCACAGCGGCGGTCCGGGTTCGATCCCAGGTCTCGTCAAGTGGGATTTCTGGTGGACAAAGTGGCGCTGAGGCAGGTTTTCTCCGAGTACTTCGGTTTCCCTTGCCAATCTTCATTCAACCAATTGCACTACAATCACCCTCACCTATCATCTGGGGCTGGTACAATAGGCCGGAAGTGGCCGCAATACAAGGAACTTAGTCCCACCCCACTAGCAATAAAGAAAAAACGATAACACAACAATTCTTATATAAGAAACCATCTATTGATGGTTCGTAACAAAACTGTGTCTCTATTCTTCTTGTGAGCCTAAGTGTTTCTAGAAAGGTTTGCCGAGCGCTTGTCAGAAATATGCGTTGAGTACTTCGTAATCGGAAGAGGTTTCACTGTAGTTTAACTAAATATTCATCACACGGGAATGTCAAACATGCCTGTACCATAACTTGTAGTCAGCCGGACCAGACAGTCATCAACACACAAGGTCCGTTTACAAATTAAAATATTTCACCAGGTTAACAATAAAGTACACAAAAAGTTAAAATTTAAATATAAAAATGAATTTCTTCCATTCTTTCATGAGCTTATAACGACTGCAGCAGGATCATTTCCCATTCCCAATTTACAACGCGTCACATTTCACACAGATATAGGTCTATATTGTCACAAAGTTTCTCACGTCCTCAGTACATATAGGCCTAATACGCACAGCTTACTAAGACACTGTTCACTGCGAATTCAACTTATAAGTGTCGCAAACTTAACTAATCAATACGAAAGAAATACCATTCTTCCTCGTCACGGAGATTGCGAATGAATCCAGAGAGAAGCATTACATTGTATTCTCTCTGAGTTGCCGTTGTCAGTTCCAGTAATTGCAGATTTAGAATTTAAAAATTTGTAGTTTATTTTCCTCTCTGTAGTAAGATCGACGTAAACTTTCAAGAAATATTAGTAAAATTTCGGTATCGCAACTTAGTTTAAATTTCCGAAGCAGTCGCTGTGTTTCCATGCTGTCCCTACGTGTCCCACCAGACGTATGGTCCCGTCTCAAGGTTCCCTTCCACACAACTCATACATAGACACAAGCAAAGGTTATAAACACCCTTCCTTCCTTCCTGCCTTTCTTTCAGTGCTAATTAATATAACGGCACATTATACACTGCAGAAAGGGGAAAAGGGAAATAAAAGAATAAAAAAGAAACATGAAAGGAAGAAG